GCCATTTTCCCTCCTCCTTGGCCTCCACTCCTCTCCCTTCCTTTATCCCCCTTCTGAGATCGCCCTAAAATGTTGTGTTCAGGTAACTAAGAAAGCTATTCAACCTTGGCAAAATGCTCTACCCCAGAACTTCAAATCTCAACAGCGCTAGGCCATTCCTAGGACAGGCCTTCCCCTCCATGGTCTTTTCCTAGAATGGCTCAGCTGGCAGAAGGTCTGAGTTCATTTTTAAATTATTGTTGGTCTTGTTACTATTGGGTCAATGGGAAAATCATGAGACATTTTTGCATAGAAAAACAAAAGTATGTCATGACTTCCTGACAACCTAATATCATTCCCCAGAGATATTCTAAGTATCAACTGGTTCACACACCAACTCTTACAAGTCAATTTAACACAGAGATGCAGCTGAAATGCTGGGTGATGAACGAATGTATAAACAAAATGGAGTATATCCCCACAATGGAATATCATTTGCTCACAAGGAGAAATAAGGTTTAGCTACATGAATGAACCTTAGAAACATTATGCTAAGTGAAAGAAGTCAGACAAAAGGGCCATATATTGTATGATTGCATTTACATATAATGTCCAGCATAGGCAAATTCCTTGAGACAGGAAGTATGCTACTGGTTCCCAGAAGGGGGGGTGAGAGGTGGGGACAGCTACTAATGGACTTGGAGCTTCCTTTAGGAGTGATGAAAATATTCTAAAATCAGAAGTAAAGGTTGACAACTCTGTGAATATACTGAAAACCACCGAATTATGCACTTGTTTAACAGAGTGAATTTCACAGCATAATTATATTTCAGTAACTCTCTTAGAATAGTAGTTATTCTATTAATTAAAGAAAAAAAATAAATGCAAGCTCTTTTTTTTTAAAAAAATTGACTGAGTGCAGGAGAGAAGAACAGTCCGGTTACAGGAAATAAATGAATTCTTCAGTAGAAATACTAAAGGGGATTTTTTTTTTTTAATTTGCCAGAAGGCATATATGCTCACCATAGAGACACAGAGGGAGAGGGAGAAAGCACGCCCCAGTGGGATGTGTTCACACCAGAACTCCTTCTCCTCCATTCCTTCTTCTTGTCAGGATTTTGGGCATGCACATGCATACCCCATCAAGTTTTCCAAGCTGCTGGGGCCAGGATTCTAACTACACAGTAAGCCACGTGGGATCCAACTCCTTTAACCACAAGGCTACAGGGCTGGCTCTTGAATTTTAAATACAACCTCAAGGGATCCCCATCTTCCAGAAAAGACTTAGCCCTCCATGTGTAACATAAGACTTCAGCTGAGGTTTTCCTTTCAGATATGCTAAGGATATCAGCCGAACCCTCCCCAACCCTACCACAGCCCCAGAATCCCAGCCTCAGGTCATGCCTGGGACAAGAGCAGAGTTAACAGGCATGTGTTTTCACTACAGCAAGCTTGGGATTTTAATAAGCTCACTCTCTTTTCCCTGTCTAGGAAAAAATACTTGGGATTTCACATGAAGAAGTAGACTGAAATATCGGAAGATCTGTCATCTAGAATAGCCATCGTCCACCTGCGGCCCTGAGCGTGTCAATCTCCACATAGACTGTGAGAGAAAATGTAAATGTACCAGGCAGAAGGAGCCTTGAAGTATTCAAAACCATTATTTCCATGACATGAGAGGCATGAGGAAAGACCTTGTTCAACTCCAGTTCATAGACTGTCGCAGCGCAGTCCTGGACGTCGATGTTAGGCCCTCGGTGGAGTGAGGACGTCTGTGAGCATAACTGGTGATTCCCTTTCAAAGGTTCGGTGCAGAGACCATCACCATGCCTCTGTTAGTACTTCAGGGCAAGCGCTCCCCATGTCTGCCTCCCTGTGTGGGGGAGATGATAAACTGCATGTGCTCACTCTTCGGTTTTAGTATTTATTTTTTCAACTACACTTGGGTTAACCTAATAATGACACTGTTTCAAGTGTACCTTTAGGAAAATGTTGCTATTCCTGCTAGTAGATATAGCTTTAAAAGCCTCTGAAGTTGACTTCTATTCCTATTGGTTTGAGGGGACATAGCTGTATACATGCCTTTTTGACCCACGTCTGTTGGAAAATTCTTAATCAGCTTCACAAACTTCCATTTGGTTCAATACTCCAACCAGCCTCAACTCTCCTCTCAGTGACACACCTCTGCTTGGCAAGGTACTTGAGACTTCATTATGATGTGGAGCAACCCAAGGCTGATAACTGCCTGAACCTTCTGATATGAAGGAATGTGTGAGCAACCTTGAAGCAACCCAGGGCTCATAGCTGCCTGGGCTTTCTGTTCCCCAGTGAGCTAGCTGCCCCTCCCCTGAACTGTTGAGTGGCCAGAGGCCTTGAGCAGGTTGGATCCCCTGCTTCTCTGCCAGCTCTGTATTAGGACAGACACTGAGCCCCTTCCCTGATAGGACACGTCCAGTGCTAAAACTGCCCCTCCCCAATTCACCCATAAAAGACTGTGTCCAACTCTCAGCTGGGGCCAGAGATTCCAAGTATTAACTCCTCCATGCCCACCAATGTAATAAAACAGTTCTCTCTCTCTGAGTGCCATTTCCGTTCTGCAGCATCTGATTTTCTGCAACAGTTATTCTCTGTGGTAATGTGATGATTGGTAGCTGCTAAAATAAACATGGAGAAAGAATGGTCAAGAGTGTCTCTGGTTGGGACCAACAACTGGCATAATGGCTATGTTGCTGGACTCATATAGTTGACCATGGTTTGAGTCCTGGACCCAGTGGTCTAAACTCACACTGGGCGCATGTGCATGCATGCCCAAGATCCGGAGAAGAGAATGGAGGAGAAGGGATTGCGGCATGGCCATCCCCCTTGGGGGGTGATTTCTCACTTTCTGTCTCTGTCTCTTTCTGGAGATCGCACACACCCTATAGCAAAAACCTCTCCCCCCCCATAAAAAAAGTGTCTCTGGTTAAAATAAGTAATAGGGACCAGCAGTTACTGTAATGGCTATGTCACTGGACTCCAATGTAGTCGACCAAGGTTCAAGTCCCGGACCCAGTGGCTTAAACTCATGCCAGGCGCATGTGCATGTGTGCCCAAGATCCCGAGAGGAGAATGGAGAAGGGACTGAGGCGTGGCCATCCCCCCCGGGGGGTGATTTCTCACTTTCTGTCTCTGTCTCTTTCTGGAGATCGCACACACCCTATAGCAAAAACCTCTCTCCAAAAAAAGAAAAAAAGTAATAATAGTGCTAGGTTTTCTGTGAGTACCCACTGATTTAATTCACAGAGTTTAGATTAGTTCTTGGTACTTAATGCTAAATGTCCACTTATGCTTCCAATATACACCCTTCAAAAAATACAAAGACAGCAGATGGCTTAAGCAGTTATGTTGCTGGACTCCCACATGGTCGAACACAGTTCAAGTCCTGGACCAGGTGGCCTGAAACTCAGGAGACCCCAGGAGGGGGCAGAGGAGAAGGAATTATGGCGTGGCCACCCCCTTTGAGGGGTGATTTGTCACTTTCCCTCTCACTAGCTCTGTCTCCCTCTCTCTCTGGAGAGTACACATGCCCTAAGGCAAAAACCTAAAAAAATAAAATAAAATAAAATAAAATAAAAAAACCCCGCAGCCCTCAGCCGAGAACCTCTTCTCTCAAAGCAGCCAATGATTAGCTTTTCTGAAATTGATGAGAATGAACTTTTTCAAGAAGTGAAACACATTCAATAGGAAGAATTAGAATTATACTTACAGCTCTCTGGCTCTTCAGCATTGGGACCTAAAATAAAACAGGCCCTTAAAAGGGCCAGCCCTATTAAGGCCGTGCACCAGTTAAGGAGTTAGATCTCACATGGCCACCCGTGGCTAGAATCCCAGCCTCGGGGGCTTGAAAAACACATGTGTGTGTGTGCTTAAAATCCTGATGGGATGGAGAAATGCAGAAAGAAATAATTGTAGGGTGACCCTGTCCCATTGTGGGATGCTTTCTAGTAAGTGCCCATGACTTCTGTCAATTAAAAAAAAAAAAAAAAAGTGGGTGTTTAATACAACTTTGATGAAAAAATAAATGAGGCAATTATATACACTTTGAGGTTCAAGGGAAAACTGGCCCATCATTAAATGCTTAACTAGCCTAGCTATTTCAATAACATGAGTTATGTTCCTCTTCCAGTGACAGTCATAAATATTCAGGATAGAGAAGTCTCCTTTTACATATGGAGACACCACTCCTCTGCCCACTTTGATCCACCCTCTCCAAACTACTTGCAGTCCCCTAAATGTGCTGAGCCTCCTTGGCCTCCGAGCCTTCATTATTCTTCTCCCTTCTCGCCTGCCAGCCTTTCTCCCATTCCCAGTAACCCAACTGACTCCAGCCCATCTGTCCAAAGTTATTCCTTCATTTTCTCTAGGATTTATTTGCTAACCTTCCCTTGGCTGTCCTGTGAGTACATTTGAATGCCTTTTCTCATCGATGTTCCATACACCCTGTGTTGACCTTATTCTGAATACATTGTACCCTAAGAACTGATTTCCCTAGCCATGCTCAATGAATTGTAAACTCTTCTGTAAACAAGTAGTATGTCTAATTTAACTTTGTATGACTAATGCCTGGCATCATTTTGGCACACCATGGCAAAAGCATACCCTAGTAATACTGCTGTAGCATGTAAATTAGCATGACTAGAAGTTGGTCCAAGACAGTAGTACTGAACACAAGGGCCTGCTTCTCAAAGCATACAAAAAACAATCACCAGGCCCCATGTGGATCCTACATGGCCAACCATGTGGTTCAAGTCCTAGACCCGGCCATTGAATAACACACTGGACACATATGCATGCTATCTCAAGAAGGAGAAAAAGAAGAGAAGGAATTAAGCATGACATTCCTAAAGGAGGCTGTTTTCTCTGCTCTCTCTCTCTCTCGTGACAACATGTACCATATAGCCAAAACAAACAAACAAAACCAAAAGCTTGTATCAGAAAAGGTCTAACATCCAACATTTAAATTTTCATCTTAAGAAACTAGCAAGTTGAGCCCAAAATAAGCAAAAGGAAATAATGAGTAGAAATCAACAAAACAGAAAATGAACACACAACAGAGAAAACCTAATTGGAACAAGTTGATTTCTGGAAAAAGTAACATGGATGTATCTCTGTATCTCTGGTTTGGCTAGTTAAGAGATGGGGCCAGCTTCATAACCTAGTGGTAAAGGGAGCAGGATCCTACATCGCTGACTGCAGTTCAGATCCAGGTAGCTTAAAACACATGCGTGCCTCAAATCACAAGATGGAGAAATGGAGAAGGGATTGTGGACCATGCCCCCTGTTGGGACTGCTTTCACTTTCTCTCTCTGCCTAGCACATGCACCCTCTGGCAATTAGAGAGAGAGGAGAGAGAAGGAAGAGGAGAAACAGCATTTTCGCTACCCTACTACCTAGGTCTGTGGCTAAGGTCTCAAGAGAAACCCAGCCACATTTTATTTAATGTAAGTTTCACATGACATAGGAGTTATCAGAGAGAAATGAAGACTAAAAGAAAGATAAACACTAGTGTTTTATAGTAGGTTTGAAGAATCGACAGTTGTAAAGAAACATAATAGAGTAAAAAGAGTATGATCTAATTTCCCAGGATGTGTGTTTAGATTCTTCTCCATGACCCTTGATCTTCAGAAATAAGGATGTCCCTTTCCTTCAGGGACAGGGAGGGCACCTCTTACATGAAGGATCCAATTCAGAGAAAGATCAGAAAAGCCAACCTAAATTCTATGACCTGCTTCAGGAGAGACCATCCTCTTCTGTAGTTTTCTCAGATTATTTGGTTTAAAATATTCAGTATGCCAAGGGGTCCTATTTGAGGTAGTGTGTTCTGAGCCCCATCAGAAGACATGCGTTACCAATGACAGAAATGAAGCAGGCATTGAAAGGATAATGGACACACCTTACACATTTTGTTTATTTTATTCATGACAGCATGTGAGAGAGGGAGAGAAAGAAGCACCCTAGACAGGATTTCTCCACACTGTGGCCCCCTTTCCTGGGCCTTTCAGCTGGTCAGGATCTCAGGCACATATAGATGTACCAGGGAGGTTTTCAAGGTAACCCAGGGATCCAAACCTCTAGTCAGCCATGTGGCTTCCAGCACTGCAGTTTAGTTTATTCTTGTATTTTTTTTTTTTTTAAGCTTTTTGACCTGGGGTACAGAGAAAGACAATGAGAGATAAAGTGAGAAGTTTTACACCCCTCCCTCCAGAGGGGATGGCCACACAGCAATCTCATCTCTTCCATTCTCCTCCTGGGATTTTACGCACATAAGTACCCACACCCAGCATGAATTTCAAGCTGCCAGATCTGGGACTTGAACTGGGGTTGGCCAAGTGAGTGTCCAGCATCTTAACCATTACGCCACCTGCCAGCCTCCAGTTTAGTTTGCTACTGACCGTGTCACCAGAATAAGCCATAAATTTTAATCAACGTAGATAAAACGGCCAAATTCCTTGAAACACAAACTACTAATGTGACATAAGAATAGGAAATACGGATAGCCCTAGATCTATTAGTGAAATGGAGCTATTAAAAACTTTCCCGATTTCTGTCAGAGAATCACACCACTGCCAAGAACTTGAGGGCCCCAACCCTTTCCTTCCCATGGAATCCCTAAAAAAACTACCTGAGTTAGTTTTTTAGGTAGTCTGAGTTCTCATGGGTTTTACCACATCCCATCGCATTCTACTGGGTTCTACATCAAGAAAGTGAACACTCACTTTATACGCTAATTTGGGGGAGAGGAAGGTGGGAGGTATTCAGTATCCACGTCAGGATTCCTTCTAGTTTACTGAACACGAGCAGTTCTGAAACAGACTCCTCTCTATTCTGTTCCCCACCACAGGTGTTGTCAGCACTGAGCTAAGCAACAATCCTTTTCAAACATCTCTTCCAAGGCATTACTTCTTTGAAATGCAAACAATAAAACTGCTGGGTTTTCTGTTGTGTCTCAAACACAAGTCTCACTTATAAATATCACAGCAAAGACCAACCAACTCCTGTTTCAGTTTTCTTACCAAAAAGAATTAACACTGGGGCCAGCAGACGGTGTAATGCCTACACTGCACATGGCTGAACTCTCACATAATTGACTGCAGTGTGAGTCCTGGACCCAACAGCTTAAAACTCACATTGGGCATGTGTGTGTGCATGCGTGCCCAAAATCCCGAGAGGATAATGGAGGAGAAGGGCCAAATCTCCTGGGGAGTGATTTCTCACTTTCAGTCCCTCTCTCTCTCTCTCTGTCTCTCTGGTGAGCACACATGCCCTATAGCAAAAACCTCTCTTAAAAAAAAAAGAAATGACACTTATTTTTCCATTGTTTTATTATAAAAATCAACATTTCATTTGTTACAATTCAGCTTACTGTAATAATCAAAAAGGGGATTTATACAAGGTGTTTTATACAGTTTATAATTAAAGCACTTATTTTACAAAAAGGGGGAAGTGAATAAGTGGACAAGGGCTGACCAAATGTTGGTCATTATAATATAAATACATCCTTGCAAAGCACCATCGTACCAAAGTCAAAGTCGATGAACAAGAAACACCAGCTGACTTTAAGACAATGACAAAGATTAAAGCTTAAGAAAAAATGTTTAAACATAAAGGATAAACATCTGAAAGCAGCACCAAATCCTTCACTTGCAAATAAGGCCAGTCCAGTTTAAGCTTGATATCCCCTTCACTCTCTTTCAACTTCTTTTTTCACTAATCTGGATAATTAAAGTTCATGCACTGTTGGACTTAATAAGACTTTCTTTGCTTCGTTTTCCTTTTAATATCCGTATCTAGTGGATGGATGGATGGAGATATATACATATATATATATATCTCCACTCTCCAACTTGCTTATATTCGATTTAAGAACAAAACTACCAAAATGGACAGTTAAGCAAAAGTATACTGCCTACAATTCTTTGGTGTTAACTTTTGGGTAAACCTTGAGTGGTAGTGGGAAATCTAATGTTAGTTTATATTACGTCTACACTTACAAGTACAAAAAATCACTTACTTTGTAATTCTATCTGTAAAGTCATGAGGTCTTTTTTCATGAATAAACTATGAATGGTTTAAGAAAGTCTTATGGAAAAAACTAAAGAAAGAAGGGGAGGGGAGTCGGTAATTTTGACTCAATCATTAAGATGAGTTATTAAAATTAACCTAAAAATCCACCTTCCCTACCTCTCAAATGTAAATAAATGCTTAGCTAAATGAGATGTGAAGTCAAGCTAAACAAATATTCAGAGGCTATGGATTCATGGATGCTTAAAATGTTAATTTTCTAAGTTATAAATGTATAATTTCATGCACGAGGTCTAAAGCTCTCTACTCTAGAACTCAAAGAATTTTAAAAGCTAAAGTTTGGGGCTATTATAAAATGATGTCATGCCAGTAGCCACATCTATGCAGCTTGCTATCAGTATTTTCCAAAATCATCTATTGTTTCTTTTGGCTCATTTTACGTTTGGGATAGGGAAAGGAATACTGAATTAAATGGTATCTTTTGAGTTTAATCGCTCTGATCACATGCTTTACAGAATGCTTGCTGATAAGCTTATCCAGTATTCAGTCCATGTCTGCACATAGTGTACAGTGTTATTTGTGAAGGCCAGGTATGTGCCAATCAACTGATACGTCTGCATTCCAAACTATGGATGCCATACATTGACTTAAGCATCACGCATTTATTAAGAACGTGATAATTGTGGTGTAAAAGCTCAAGATTTTTGTTTCTGAACCTTGTCCAATGTGTAAGTGTAATCAATATATAGCTCCTATGGAAAGCAAATTGATGAAATGGCAACATTTCCTCTGCAAGAAATAAAACAACTCCATTTCCTAGGAATCCAATCTAGGCACAGAACTAGGTAGGAAGGGGCAGCGGCTCACCTATTGTGGAGAATCAGGTTTGCAGAAGGCGGCCTCTCTGGCTTATGATGACTGTTGCCATCAGCTCACATCAGTACACCTATTTCACGAACAGGTGAGGGGGAGCTGTAGCTAACCACAACTCTACTTGAAGTAGTCTTCATTAAGGGAGCTTCACAGCAAAACAAGCTACAAAACTACAAAACTGACAGCTACCTAATATAAATGGTCATAATAGTCACATTTTAAATATCAAATGAGTTGCCTTTATACGTTACTGACTTAAGAGTATTTTAAAATGATGAATACAACCCTCCATGGTTGTAAAACTTTACGGTTCAGCCCCACCACTACCTCCGAATTACTGGCCTGTAGTAGAGGACAATGTAGTTTAATTAGAACATCTGCCCTTGAACTTATTAAAGAATTAGATACCTCATGGCAGCAGATTGTAAAGTATTTTTATGTATAACCTTCAGCTAAACAGACATCACATGATATCCCAGTACAAAAGATGGCAGCTAGTGCCAAAGGCATAATAACATTTCATGGAAGAAAAATTAATACTAAGAAAATTCTATCTACCAACTCTTTCTTTCCTGTGAATGTGCCATTATCTGACTTGAGTGACAGGATGCCCTGGGCCAGGGCTCTGTAAAGCCAAGTCCAGAGCCTCTGCTGGGAAAGGGCACTTGACTGCCGAGCGCAGACTGTTCTGCACAAGAGCGCGTGCCCCGCCAGTGCCCACTCCTCGGATCACCGTAATCACATCGTTCAGCACACATACTTTCAGACACACGCTCAAAAGGAATACTTTGGTTTTTAAATTTTATTTCCCTTTGGATAATAAACCTAGCGATGCAACCAAAATTGAAAATCCCCTTTCCCCTGATTGGTCGTCTCTTATGTTCATTTTGTCTCCTGTTTTTCCAATTAAAGCTCCTACATGATCTTAATGATGCAGTTTACTTTAGCTTAACTGTCCGGGTAACCTGAGAGCCAGTAAATCTTTCCCAAATTTGACAATTCTCTCTTTCAAATGTAACCCAGAAATACTAAGAATCCATCCCAACTACTCCAGAACGAGGATACTGAAATTAAGCTGAACTGCCTTCAAATCATTTCAAATTGGCACACAGATTAGTATTTTGCAAGAAGAGGCCATTGCCATCGCAGTACAAGCACTTGGACTGAGATAAAACAAGGCAATATTCTTCTTAGTTCATGATAGTGCAAGTTTCCACACGGGAAGCCCACCAGATAAAGATGCACGTTAAAAAATGTAAACATATAAAATCCTCAAATTCTAATTGATACCCAGTTATTGCTAACCTTTCCATCTTCATTGAGCATCAAGTGTTCCTATGTGTCACAGAATGCGGGTTCCACGTCCATTGTGTCGTAGACTGTGGGGACTCTGCTCCATCAACGGGAAGAGTTAACATGTCTGACTGAAATGCAAGACACTGATGGATCACTGTCTATACACAAAACCAAGTGCACCTGGTTCCTACAAGCTGTTCCCAATATCTGAGCATTACTTTTAAACCACATTTTTTCTCTCTAAAAAGTTTACTTAGGTTTTTTTTGTTTTTTGTTTGTTTGTTTGTTTGTTTGTTTTAATGCTTAAAATTTTACTTTACTCCTACCAAAATTCTGAATTCTGTCTTCCACTGTTTTCTCTTGGGCCCTGAAACCCAGAGAGGCTTCAACAAGACAGAACTGAAAACTAATCCTTGAACAACTAACTGACCAACACGTGATAAGGTTTAAAAATAAATCAGTTTAAGAACATATTAGATTTAGCAGAGAAGTACTAGACACAAGTCAAAAGCAGGAAAGTAACTTGTGGCAAGGCAGCAGAACAGCGCTAGGTCATTCCCGCTCAGCCCTGACAGCTGAAGACAGCTGGAGAGGCAGCAGACCGGGGCTGGCACCTGCCAGCATGGCGGACTGTGAGGTCCCCACTCTTCCCCCCATCAGGGGCTGACAGCTGAGAAGCTGACAGCTCACCTTCTCATTTAATCCTCATTGTTAAATTATCTTAATCCATAACAGGACAAGAGAGGGTATGAGGTGATTATAAGAATAATTTGTGGATCATTTTAAAAAAACCTAACATTCACAGTGGGTAACAGGAAGATACTAAACTCATGTCACACTTTAGAAGAGGTATGTATGTAGACCACATTCTGAAAATAATTGGCCTGAACATGAAGATGTCACAAATCGTTAACATGGGAAAACCTAATGATAACAGAAAATTCTTTTAGAATAGACTGTCTCTAACCAAAACATTTAAATGTTTTACTCAGAAAAATATATATAAAACAATTTCATATTATGATATTATATGCTGAAAGTACTGCAAGGATATATGATTTAATTACAACAAAATGATTAAATTTGTAATTCTTAAACACTGTCTATATGTGTTGTAAAAAGTCATTTTAATGAGCATTAAAACAATCTTGGAAGTAAAGAGCAATAATAAGTCTAATTTTTCATCTTTATGCAAAAATAGCAGTCAAATTGAAGAGCTAAGCCCACTGGGGAACGGAGCTGTTGAAAATAGGAAAATCAAACCTTTAGAAATTTTATGTAATCAATTCCTCAGAGAAAAAAACTCAAATAAATCATGGTATCTTGGCAAAATGGCCTACAAAGTTGCTGGGGGAGGCAGCAAGGGGAAGACACCTAGAGAAAGATGAACACTGACAGAGGTGTGGGTCCTACAGAAGGGGGAGAGGACTTGCACACACACAGCCCCTCGGCCCCTTATCGGACAGCTCATCTCACCTCCCACAGAGACACCTAGAAAGGATTTTTATAAATACCTGTTTTCTTCACGAAAACTATTGTATTCCTAGAGAAAGCAAAGTTCTCTGTCCAAGGTATTAATTCCTTTTTTTTCCTTTCATGATTTCGTAACCTGCTGGCCCTCAAATGCCAGTTAACATGAAGGCTATTTGGCTACTTCCAAGTATCTATGGTTTGCTGCTCTGAGATGGACTTAATTTTTCTCCTTCTTCTGCTTCTTCTTCTTCACTTTTTATTTTTGGTATCAATAAAGTCTGGACATTCCTGGTCAGTGACACTTTTATTATTCCTGTTTCCTTTGTACTCAGTCACTTCACTGGTTTTAAGGCATGCTTTGTGTATTTAGTTTGCAAAAATAGAACTTTTTAGTACAAATTTTTTTATACAAACTTTTATGGCACAAGCAGCAAAATGTGCTGTTTTAAGAAAATATATAAATATTCTTTTCTTCTGTACAAATATCTCCAGCGTTCCCCACCTCATTTTATAATTTTAACTGTACATGGTCTGCCTCATCCTTCTCTAATAGCTCCCTCCCCCCCTCCAGATCTCACCGAATTTGTATTTACATTTTCTGATGGAGGCAGTCAGAGGAGGAGGGCCCCTCCTCAGGAGGAGTCTGTACAGGGAGAGGGAGGTGGTGGGTAGAGGTGATGAGAGTAGCTCCTCTCTGTGTATGGAGAAGGTGGGCAGCTTTCACAGTTCTCCTCTGCCGACAAGTACTGGCTGCGGGGCGTGGGAGGTGGGGGCACAGGCTCTGAGTCATAGTTCAAGTCACTAGTGTAGCCCTTAGCTGTTGCCACTGAGGTCATTCTCCGGCTAGGAGCATAGTCACTGTCACAGACATCTGTGCTGCAGGGCGTGGTGGGAGGTGCAAAGTGCCGGTAACTGTATGGCCGATAGCTGGTAGAGGGAGGGGAAAAAAAAGAGAAGCAGAGTTAGGCTGTGAGTGTGTGGGTGTTTTTATTTATTTCTTCAATGAGAAAGAAAGTACAAAAGGAGAGACAGAGAGAGAGCACCGCAACAGGGTCTTGCCCTACCATCCACTCCAAACTTCAGCCAGCCCAGATCACAGACACGGACATGCCCGGCATATTCAGGGAGGTCTCTGGATGTAAACGAGTTACCTTCCTGTGCGGGTCTGCTCTGCAGAATACCAGCCAGCTCTCAAGAGTTAGTTTTACCAAGAAATTAGTTCCTCTTTTGAAAAAACTAATGCAGTTTAAATCAACACAGACTAAGAGGCAATTTTCAATGGCAGACTGGCAGAGGAAGACAGCATGTATTTTCATATCTGCAAATAAGATTTAACTACAGGGAAGTAAAAATGTACAGGATGGGAATGTGCAGGTCAAATGTCTGAGCCTCTGGAACAGCTCTTGTATCTTTAAGTTCACAAAATGTATCATGAAATAAAAGAGAACTCTTCCAAGTTGTTCTTAATGGTTATCTCTGGAAAATCTCTTTACACTTATCTCTGGAAAATACACTTTACACTTACAAAGTAGGCCTCACCAATTTCTATGTTTCAGAGCCTCTAAGAATGGTCTTTACGTAGGACCAGCGGATGGCATAATGGTTACGTTGCTGGACTCCCATCGAGTCGAACGCGATTTAAGTCCCAGACCTGGTGACTTAAAACTCACATCAGGCACATGTGCATGTGTGCCCAAAATCCCAAGAGGAGAAAAGGGATTGTGGCATGGTCATTGCCCCTGGGAGGTGATTTCCTGCTTTCTATCTATCTCGCTTTGTCTCTCCGGTGAGCTCATGTGTCCTACAGCAAAAATCTCTCAAAAGAAAAAAAAAAAAAAATGGTCTTTATTTATTTTACCTACTCAAACACGTCAACATTCCCTGAATATTCTTTAACTCCTCTATGATTTACCTGATGAATAATTTAATGATGTCTGAAGACTTCAATTCTTCTTTAAAACTCAAATGCTGTACAACCTGGGCTGACTTTCTGCAGACAGTCTAAGGGTCGTGCCTATCCTGTTACTATTATTATAAGCAAAGGGGAAAAAAGGCTATGGTTTGGGAAAATAATTTTATGTGTACACAAGTATATTGTCACAAGAGCACCTTTAAATGAAAACCAAAGTAATATTCTGTGTTATTAAAGTTTATCTGTTGAGGGTGGCAGGTGGTGTGGTGGTTGAGGCACTGGACTCCCACATGGCTGACTGTGGTCCGAGTCCTGGACCTGGCAGCTTTCTCACTTTCTCTCTCTCTCTGTGGGTGTCTCTCCCTGGTCAAACTGAAAAAAAAAAAAAAAAAAAAAAAAAAAAAGTAAAATAAATAAACAAATCTAAAAGAAGTTTATTTATTTCTTCCTTGGCAGGGAAGCATGCAAGGCATAAGAATACAACAGGGTTGGGGCTGGCAGGTGGCGTGGTAGTTAAAGGCGCTGGACTCCCACATGGCCGACTGCAATTGAGTCCTGGACCTGGTGGCTTGCTTCCTCACCTTCCTTCTCTCTCCCCTTTTCTCTCTCTCCCCTTCTCTCTACCTCCCTTTCTCTCTCTCTCCCTGTCTCTCTCTGGTCAAATTTAAATAAATAAATAAATAAAATAATTATTAAAAAAAAAAGAATACAGCAGGGTCTTCATGCCATCATCCACCTCCAGCCTCAGGCAGCCAGGGTCATGGGTGCACACGTGCCAAGTGCACAGTAGGCACAGGAGACCTAAGCATGTGACTCAGGCCCTGCCCGCATGGCTCCAGCACCGCAGAGCACGACGTCACCACTGCGCCAGTGAAGATGATACATCTTAAAGATCTACAGGGGCCAGTGAGTTTCCCAATACACAGTTCAGGCCTAATTACTTCTATTTGCTACCTTTCCGAGTAACCTATAGTTTGTAGCATGGCTAACAAGATGGCATGGAAGGAGGAACTTACTAGTAAAAATAAAAGTACGCCTGAAGTGCCAGCTTTTCTATCATACCTACTTTTTTCCCTAAGTTTTTGCTATAGGGTGCATGAGTTCACCAGAAAAAGAAGAGAGGGAAAGTGAGAAATCACCCCCCAAAGGGGATGGCTATGCTACAATTCCTGCTCCTTCATTCTTGTCTCAGGATTTTGGGTGTGCATGCACATGTGCCTGGAGTGACTTTCAAGCCGCTGGATCCAGGACTCAAACTGCAGAGCTGGCTATGTGGGATCTAGCTGCCTTAACCATCATGCCACCTGCTGGCCTCTATCATTCCTACTTCTACTTGTAACTTCTTATGCTTTCTTATCCTCATGTAGTAAGATTTATTTCACATTTATCCCGACCAAATAATTTATTCATAAGTTTTCATATCAAGAAAAGTGGCTGAAAAAGAAAGACCAAGTATAAAGACTGATGTAACAATTTGTAAAATACCTAGTGACGGCACCGCAAGATAAAGCCTGGGATACGAGTCATTCAGTATCACTTGGGCTGGCCTCCATGGAAACAGGTGCAAGAGGCTAAACTTACGTGACTGGCTGGGCAGGTTCTCAGAGGCTTTTATTATCAATATTGACATAATGTGGGGTGTTTCTTTTTTGGTCTTATCTTTCAGGCTAATCGGGGCTGAGCTTTAGTGAATTTCTTGACTCAACATTTGAAATACTTAAATTTTCATGGAAAAAAGGAAAATAAACTGAATTAAAATTCTTTTCAGTTTCAGTTTAGACAAAAATCTCAACAAACTATAAAAAAGTGTGACTTAGACGAAACGGAAATTAGTTTTAACTGGAGACATGGGAAATAGTTAAGTAAGAAGTGTGTGATGCAATTATGTTTATTTTGAGCAAATACTGTTGTATTCTATCTTTGGAGAGGTTTTTGCTATAGGGCGCGTGCGCTCGCCAGACAGAGACAGAGAGATAGAGACAGAAAGCGAGAAATCACCCCCTAGGGGGGATGGTCACGCCGCAATCCCTTCTCCTCCATTCTCCTCTCGGGATCTTGGGCACACACATACATGCACCCGGCGTGAGTTTTAAGTCACCGGGTCTGGGACGCGAACCGCGGTTGACTACATGGGGGTCCAGCGACATAGCCATTACGCTAACTGCTGGTTCCCTGTATTTGATCTTTTTAAAAATTTTGCCAGAGGGCTCATACTCTCACCAGTCAGGCAGAGAGAGAAAAGGGACCTCTCCAATGACAGTCACAGTGCAATCCCTCCTTCATTTCCCCATCGTGTTAGGATTTGGAGCATTTATACACACACGCCTGGCATGTTTTTCGAGCCATCAGGTCCAGTACTTGAACTACATAGTCAGTCACGTGGGATCCAGCTCCTCTAATCACTAGGCCTTAAGCACATCCAAATTTTATCCAATTTGAATTAAATTCATTTCTTTTATGCCAGAGGGTGTGTGCACACATGCACATGGGAGAAAGGGAGAGAGGAGAAGAGTGTTCCACCCAATGGGGCCGGACCACACCACAACCCCTTCTTCATTCCTCCATCGCATCAGGATCCTGGGCCCCCATGCAATGCTCAATGTGTTTTACAAGCCACTGGGGTGAGGACTCAAACCATGGTTAGTCTAGTGGAATCTTATTCTCTCTGCACAGGGCTTAATCACTGTGCTACAGGGACGGCCTGAATTAATTTTTAAAATAAAATTTCAGGCTCCTGCCTGTTTTGGCTTTTAAGAACAAACTAGTCACAGGGAAGCAGTATTAAAATAAATCATAACAAACCATCAGTTTGGGGGGGCCAGCCAGTGGCATGGTGGTTAAGGCACTGGATTCCTCATGGGCTGAACTGTGCGGTTCCATCCTGGATCTAGCACTTTGAAAAACACTCCATCAAGTGTGTGCACGTTCCTCAAATCCTGAGAGGACAATGGAGAAGGGATTGCTACACAGCCATCCCCTCTGGGGAGAGCTTTCTTATTCTCTCTCTCCCTTCTCTCTCTCTCTCTCTTTATAGCAAAACCTCAACAGAAAAAAAAAAAAATATATATATATATATCAGTGCAGAGCCAAGCCTACCTCAAATGGTCTTACTTAAAGTGAGATGAGAATTCTGACGGCCACACGTAAGTGTGTATGTGTGGAGGGTCACATCAGGTCACCGTGACTGAAATGCTAGAAAACACCCTGTATCGAGGAGACAGCAGGCACCTGTGGGGCTCTCCTAAACACCGGCACTCGGTGTCTAGGCCGAGAACACCAGGCTGCTGACTTCCTGCTGGACATTTAAGTAAGCCGAGACTAAGGCTGACAGACTAGCATGTGACTGTGCAAATTAGCACGAAGGCATAATTCCTCCTTCTTTGGTTTATAAATACACTTTATTTTTGTAAAAAATAATTACTGTTTGTCATTTAGTTTTTAATTTGACCAGAGAGAGAGAAATGGAAAGCAAGAAAGCAAACCTCCAGGTCTGGGACTCAAACTGCGCTCAGCCATATGGGAGTCCAGCACCTGAACTATCTGCCAGCGCCCCTACTTTACTTATTTTATTGAGTCCTGATCTATTCCTTACAACTACCTAAGAAATCTTCCTCTCCAGATTGCAGCAACACGTCAGGAAGAACTGAATCTACACTTCCGACTTTCTACATTCTGTGCTCTCGATACCCTGCTGTTTCATGCTCTCACAGCTCTGAGTCATAGTCTAACATCACTAATCCACTCTTAGGATAGCAACCAAACTTGACCTCGTAGTAACCTGTTCTGAACTCCATCACTTTGATGAGTAACTTTTCCTTAGAATAGTGCCAAAGCCAGGAGCTCTAGTTTATTATTCTAAAAAACAACATTTGTGACTCTCTTTTAAAACTATATAATGCCCTGAAAGAAAAGGATCTGTGATAGGGTGATGTCAGTATTACCAATACCAGGTGCCTGTTCTCCCTCTGCTGACCATCGTCTACTCCTCAGGAGCTAAGCCAAATCCAACTCAAGAGTACGTTTCCTTCTAATACGTGCTTCCACCCACACCAGGGGAGGACATGTGTTGTTACCTGTATGATCTATGAGTGGAAGGACTGTTCGAAGAATAACCAAATTCCATGGTATAATGTGATCGTTCTGTGGCTGGGGATGGTGGAGGATTCAAAATCTAAAAGAAAAAATATTAAAATATCAAAATGCCAATAGTCTATCCCAGACAGAGATTATAAAGCTTTCTTTCAACTTTTCTTTCTCCGTCTCAATTCATAACCCACCCCATTACACCATCTGCACATCCTTCATTACCAAAAAGCTGATCTCAAATAGTACTTTAGAACTGTAGCTCCCCTGTCCCCTAAGACAGACGTTCTTGCTCTGTGTGGCTAATACAAAGCAAAGGGGTAAAAAGAACATCTATAAACTCCAAGTCATTGATTTAGGAGAAATTCTAGGTGTGCTTTCTCTTTGGAGAGGTCATGAAATAAAGATCCTAAGTCTCCCAAGAGGTACTATTCAGTAGTTCAAATTTCACTTGAAATATGAAATTAATGCCTGCAGTTTGTAAATATGCTGATTAATACACAATAAACTTTTTTGTTTTGAGAGGTTTTCGCTATAGGGCGCATGCGCTCGCCAGACAGAGACATAGAGACAGAAAGCGAGAAATCACCCCCCCAGGGGGGATGGTTGCACCACAATCCCTTCTCCTCCATTCTCCTCTCGGGATCTTGGGCACACACGCACATGTGCTCGGCGTGAGTTTTAAGTCACCGGGTCCGAGATGCGAACCGCGGTCAACTACATGGGAGTCCAGCGACATAGCCATTACGCTAACTGCTGGTTCCCTACCAAATAAACA